AGCATGAGTGACCCAAATAAAAGGTGTCTTGGTGGCAGTGCTGGGGAGCTGTAGAAGGAAGAGGGGGAGAGATGTGAACAACTGAAAGATGTCAGGCAAGGGCCCACGCCTGGAGAATTCCGGGCGGGGGACTTGATTGAGCCTTGAGGAAAATACTGATGGTAAACAATGTGACTTGGGGCTGTCCTCATTCCCATCAACTCGGGATAACTCTTCCCCTGGCCTCTATACATGACAAAAGCCCTGTTCCTTGAGTCTATTTTCTTTTTTTTTTTTTTTTTTTTTTTTTTGAGACAGAGCTCGCTTTGTTGCCCAGGCTAGAGTGAGTGCTGTGGCGTCAGCCTAGCTCACAGCAACCTCAAACTCCTGGGCTCAAGTGATCCTCCTGCCTCAGCCTCCTGAGTAGCTGGGACTACAGGCATGCGCCACCATGCCCGGCTAATTTTTTTTTTTCTATATATATATATATTAGTTAGCCAATTAATTTCTTTCTATTTATAGTAGAGACAGGGTCTTGCTCTTGCTCAGGGTGGTTTTGAACTCCTGACCTCGAGCAATCCGCCCACCTTGGCCTCCCAGAGTGCTGGGATTACAGGCATGAGCCACTGTACCCCGCCTTTGAGTCCATTTTCAAAACACCTGGTGAACTTCCTGGTCACCGGCCACCTGCTTCCCCTGAGTTGGTCTAACCTAGCATCGGCCTTCCTACTACAGCAGTCAAGCTGTCCTGAAGCCCACTGAGTGGCTGTCTGAAATAAAGTCACTTAGCATCGCTAGAAGCAAGAGCGTGGTCTTTGCTCCCGGCTTGGGCAGAGCTTTTTTTTTTTTGAGACAAAGTCTCACTTTGTTGCCTGGGCTAGAGATCTGTGGCGTCAGCCTAGCTCACAGCAACCTCAAACTTCTGAGTTCAAGCGATCCTCCTGCCTCAGCCTCCCGAGTAGCTGGGACTACAAGCATGTGCCACCATGCCCGGCTAATTTTTTATATATATTTCAGTTAGCCAATTAATTTCTTTCTATTTTTTTAGTAGAGATGGGGTCTTGCTCTTGCTCAGGCTGGTCTCCAACTCCTGAGCTCAAACGATCCTCCTGCCTCGGCCTCCTAGGGTGCTAGGATTACAGGTGTGAGCCACCACGCCCAGCAGGGCAGAGCTGCAGTGAATGAAGTTCCAAGTAGCAGGCAGGTGCCACCAGAAGGGACTAGAGGCTTCTGCCAGTGTTGCAATGTTCTGACAGCCACAGGTCTCTGTGTGCTGAACAAGTAGCTGGCATTTGCTGATTCCTTGGTTCCAGCCGCAGGACACAGCTAGGCTTTCAGACACAGGCAGCGAGGAGGGCTGGAATAAAGTCTTCAGACTGAACGTCCAGCTCCTGATTGCTTCTGGGCAGGCGGGCGGGCAGGGGACGCTGGGGTCCCACATGGCTCCCAGGGCTCTGGAGCCCCCAGGTAGACCTGGCCTTCAGCTTGTCACTGGCTCTGTGAACAGGCCTGGGCCTGTCCCTCCCTCCCTCCCAGCTGCAGTGAGAAGGTCACTACTGCATGTAGACAACAGCCCGATGCAAGGGACTGCATGTGGCCGAGGTGAGTGTAAATGTTTAAAGTGAGGAATATGAGGTCCTTGCTCTTTGGAGCAAAGTGCGTGTTTCTGCCCTGAGTGGGGAGGTTGGGGGGACAGTGGGGGCTTTGGGGTTGGCCGGGGTGAGCTCACCACCAGCTCAGTGCAATGAGGTTGCAGAGCTCAGAGGACCGTAGATCTGCCTGTAACCACGGTATCCACTTGGGTGGGCTCCAGCAGCTCCTGTCTTGCCCTCACTAAGGCTCAGAGGGTTGGGTCCATGGTGGGAGAGAATCCCTCTGAGTGAGAGTCTGTTGTTTGGAGACAGAGAGAGAGAGAGAGAGAGAGAGTCTGTGTGGTGCAGAAGGTTGTGTTTACTTTTGAGCCCAGGAAAACTTTCCAGTGCCTTTTTGTTGGGGAAAAAGACCAAGGAGAGGAAGGTTTATGTAAGCAGTTAGAGCTAAACACAGAATAAGGAGCAGAGGGTATTCTTTTCCAGTATCTGTGATAGGCCAGAAGCGAATCATAAAGGATTGTCCTGTGCATCTCAGAGGTTCATCCAAATGATCCCCGGGGAGGGGTGCGTGGGAGTGTGTGGGGTGCACCACGGAGGGGTTGGCCACCAGCAAGAAGGAAGGAAAGTTCCTAAAGATAGAGCTGAATCCACACCACACCTAGCTAATTTTTAAAAATTTTTTGTAGAGATGGGGTCTTGCTATGTTGCCCAGGCTGGACTCGAACTCCTGGCCTCAAGCAATCCTCCTGCTTGGCCTTCGAAAGTGCTGGGATTACGTGCATGAGCCACCACACCTGGCCTATTGTTGGGTGATATTATCGCTCTGAGGTCCAATGTCTCAGGCATAATAATGGTATCGTGGTCACGTAGGAGAACGCCTCTGTTTTCAGGAGCCCGTGCTGAAATATCTAGGGGTGATGAGTCTTGCTATCTACAACTTCCAACTGGTTCAGTGAAAAGAAAGGAAGAGAGAAAGAATGAACGGCAACGTGACAGGACATTAACAATGGGACAGTCAGGCGTCTGGTGGGGGGTTGGTCATTGGACTAGCTTCAAGTTCTTCTCTAGGCTTGAAACTTTAAAAAAACAATAAGTTAGGGGAAACAGATTACTGGTGCATGACAACATGCATGAGTCAACATGCTGCTTAAAAAAAGAAACAGACAAAAGAATAAATATTGTATGATCCATTTGTTTGAAATTCTAGAGCATGTCTTTCCAACTCTACAGCAGAAAAATATCAGAACGGTGGTTGACCCTGTGCAAGTGTGTGTGGTTCCAAGGCTGAGAAGTTGGAAAGGAGTACGAGGAAACTTTCTGTATTTCTGAAGGGATTTGGGTTATGTAGGTAACTGGACATAGGTACACCTAAGACTTGTGTATTCTATGGTATGTAAAATTTATACAAAAAAGGGGGAAATGGGTAAAAAAAAAAAAAAAAGAAGGTGGGGGAAATGTTAAGTTAGACTTGAGTGTGGTGGGTTGTCTTGGAATTCTCACCTCTTTGGGGTAACCCTTGGCACCTCTGCCAGGGCGTATTTTGAATGCTTCACTCTGAGGGTTTAGAAAGAATACATTGTTGCTCAGCTTTTGGAAGTTCCCCATCCCAGAGCTGGTTTCCCTGTGTTGGGCCCCAGCCATGGATCCAATGACGAAGGCTCCCTGTGGGGTTAGCTCTGTGGAGAGTATGGCGGTTGCCGCCAAGATGGCGCCCAGCGATCCCCACCCCCTGATCTTGTCTATGTGTGTGTGACCCCCTTCCCCACCGAGTAGGGCCCACCTGTGTGACCAATGGCATACTGCGGAAAAGACACTTTCTATAACATCCGTGTATGTGTGATTTCTGAGGTAAATGCTCTCTCTCTTGGATAATTCCCCTGGGGGAAGCCAACCCTCTGGAAGCGTCTACTTGGCCAGGAACTGAGACTTCCTGCCCATAGCCACCATGTTTGCTAGCTGTGTGAGTGAGCCGCCTTGCAGATGGCTCCTCCGGTCCCCGTCAATACTTCACGTGACTGTCGCCTCAGCTGACGTCGTGACCAAAAGCTCATGAGAGACACCAAAGTAGAATTCTCCTGCTAAGTCACTCCCCAATTCCACACCCATAGAAGCTCTGGGATAACAAATGTGCATCGTTGTGTCGAACCACTACATTTTGAGGTGACACAGCAATAGACAACCAACATAGAGAGTGACGTAGGCACTTGTCGCCATTCGGACCCCATAGTTGCACTAAAAGTCACTAAACTCCTTCAAGACTCTGTTCTCTGGCAGCCCCCACCCCCAGCCGACTTCTGAGTGACAAGGGGGACGTCACCCCTCGCCACACCATGAGGACCTCACCACGAGGTGCCTCACAGCACCTTGAAAACAATCACTCCTTGGACCTGAGACGTCTCACATGTTGGAAAATCATGGCCGACCTTCTACCTCCATTTTCCCCACCAGCCTGAGCCTCTCCCCTGAGGGGAGTCTCTCCACCCACAGTCAGGATTTGTGGCAGACACAGCACCTTCCTATGGAGGAAACTATAAAAATGTTTTTATTGTAGAAGTAACACATGCTCACTGTAGCATTTCCCTTAATTAGAAAACACATACAGCAATCACTGTTAAGGTTGCACGTGTGTGTGACTCTCTCTGTGTGTGTGTTTATTCCCAAAGCAAGTCCACCATAAATAATTTAGGACTAAATGAACTGCTGAAGTAATTTATTTTGTCACAGCCAAAGCTCTGAAGTGAACGTGTTGTCCACCTGGGGGCTTTGTGTATGAAAGGCATATTCTGGCAAACAGCAGCTTAAATATTCTAGAAAGAATATGGACATGGTTAAAACTGGGGCGGGGGGAGTGATTTTAGGGGGTCGTTTTCTGTCTGACCAGGAAGAAATGACCACCAGGTAGGAAAAATCAAGAAGGGACGTGACACCAAATACCCATACTGTGGCTTTTTGCTCTCTGCTTCGCATGTGGCTCTGGGAGTCCCCCAGATGTCTTCTGACCCAGGCAGGCAGGACCACTGCCCTTACCCACGGAGGTGCCAGAGCTTTGCCCAGGCCACGTTCCTCTGTGGCCACAGCCCATCGTATTATTCGGTGATGCCTACAGCGAGTGTTACAGCTCTTGACTAGGGAAAGAACTGAGGGGCACACAAAGAGTGAGAGAACAGCCATTATTCCTCTGGCAGGTTCAGCACACCTAGTGTTACAGCTGTCTTCTGACGCCCCCCCATTCCTTGTTCTCCTCCTCCTTTTATACCCTTGGTAGGGCTCGAAAAGCGTCCAATCAACTACAAGCTTTAACATCCAATCAGCAACAAGCTTTAACATCCAATCAGCAACAGTGGGATTCAAAAATTACCCAATCAGGATCACGCAAGCAACGTGGCGGGAAGCAGGCAGCGCATGCGGCCCTTGAGCATTCCAGCACGCAGGCAGGCCCAGCGCTGGCCTTCGGAGCGTGGGGGAGGCTGGCAAGCGGCTGCCTCCCGGTGCCCGACATTTTCCGTGTCAGTTTCAGTTTGCAAGGGCTGCCATAATAGAAGGTCACAGACTGAGTGGCTTAAAACAACAGAAATTTAGCCTCCCACCATTCTGGAGTTGAAAGTCAAGGTGTCCGCAGGTTTGGTTCCTTCGTAGGGGCTCTGAGGGACAGTGTGTTCTGTGCTGCTGTCCTGGCTTCTGATGGTGGCAGGTAATCCTTGGCGGCCCTTGGCTTGAAGACACCACCTCACTCCAATCTCCCTCTTGTATTTGAACGTGTCCTTCCCGTGCGTGTCTCTGTGTCCTCACTCAGCCTTCTTGTAAGGACACGGGTCACTGGATTTAGGGCCCACCCTCATCGAGGGTGACCCAATTTTACTGAATTACACCTGTTTTACTGAATAAGACCCTGTTTTGAAACAAGGTCACATTCTGCAGTTCTGGGTGGATATGGCATTGGGGCAGGGGACACTGTTCTATCCAGTCCATCGATGGTGAAACATTCCACATTCTAGTGTTATCCCTGCGGGATTATAAATCCCTTTACAGTGAGAAATAAAGACAAGGGAAGAAAGTCAAGAAAAGAAAGGCTTTGAACCTGAACTCTGCCTAAATACATGTCACTAGAATGTTGCAGAGAGCCGAGGAGAGCATGGATGAAGATTTTGCTGATTTCATTGTTGCAAAGAACACCTTCTTTCCAGGAGAAAACAGCTCTAAGACTTGAATAATGAAAGCAAACCTCATGAAAACCTAAGGGCTGGATCACAGCCTAATTTAGGCACGAAAACAGTATAATGACCATAACCCTATCTATAAAATTGTCTTTAAGAAGAAGGGCTCTTAAGGACATGGGGAAATGCTTATGCTGTAATATTAAACAAAAAAAAAGCCAGGATTTAGATTTGTATTAGCAACGTGAGCTCAACTATGCAACAAAGAGGAAACACTCCCAGAAAGTCAGGCTGGTGCCAACTTCGAGGTGGGGAGATGGAAGCAGAGAGCTATTGCCTTTTATTTTACATGCTTTGGTATTGTTTGATCCCTCCCCCCAATGAGAAGGTAGTACATTTAAAAAAGAAACTTTTTGTTTGAGAATAGTTTTAGATTTACATGAAAGTTGCAGAGATAATAGGATGCCAAAATTGGTGGTACCTAGTTTTTCCTAGAGTTACCATCTTATATTGTCACAACTAATGAACCAACACTGATAAATTATTACTAACTAATGTATCAATCCCATCACTAATGATGGGATTTTTACAGTTTTTACTTAATGTCCTTTTTTTCTCAGCATATTATGGGGGTACAGATTTTAAGGTTTCAATAAATTAATGTCCTTTTTATGTTCCAGAATTTAATCCAGGACACCACATAAATGTCTCCTTAGGCTCCTCTCAACTGTGATATTTCACAGACTTTCCTTGTTTTTGATGACCTTGACAGTTCCGAGGAGCACTGGCCAGGTATGTCATAGAATGTCCCTCAATTTGGGTTCATCTGTTATTTTTCTCATAATTAGACTAGGGTTATGAGTTTTTGGGGAAAAGACCATAGAAGTTAAGTGCCATTCTTCTCACATCGTATTAAAGGACATATTTTTAATACTTTTGTAATGAAACCTACAATGAAATATATTTTTAAATAGGATTATGCCAGAAAAAAACAACAACAACAACGCATAGTATTTGACTCTGGGTGGCAGCTAAAGGGAGTTTTCTAAATATTTTTCTCTATAGTTTTCTACAAAAAGCAGAAAGTACATTTTATGATTTAAAAAATTAGTCCAAAAAAATCCTACTGGAAGTCCCCAGGAAGGGCTGCCTGGTGGTGAGGACAGGGGAGGGAGGAGGAGCCCCCGGGGTCCCTGGGCTGGCCTGGGGGTGGGGGTGGGGCAGGGAGTGTCAGGGTGATGGGGAACACGCCAGGGCCCGGTGCATGCTGGGAGCAGTCAGGATTACTTATGGCAGAACAGAAAGTAACGCCAACAACAGGCCAGCGAGGGCCGGGCTGGGAAGGCAGCTCTAACGAGCTCACTGCAACGCATTCCAGGCGAAAGGGTAACCCAAAAATGTAAGCAAGCCTGGAGCTGAGATTAGTTATAGCCAAATAAGTCGCTCAGGATCGAGATGGCGCAGACAGCTGCGGGAGACGCAGGGCACCTCTGCGTGACACTTTGTGTAAATACTGGCTTTTTAGGGAAGACGGAGGAGCCTCTCTCTTTTTCCACTGGAGGGATTAAGACAAGTTTATTGATTTTTTTTAAACAGGCTGTTTCTAATCAGGGCTTACTTTAGATCTAATAAGGCTCTTATTATTATTATTTTTTTAATTTGGTGCAGCAAGGGAATTCGATGTCAATCTCTGCATAGAGTATTTTTAAGCGCTTTGGAAGATGTCACACTGAAACTAAATGGCGGGGCACATGTGACTCCCAGGGCACCGGTCCTAGAAGGGAATTCTACTAAGACAAGGGGACCCTTGCTCCGTGCTTCTCCCAGCTCTTGGTGCAGCGTTGAAATGGCTGGGCGGAGAGGCTGGTACCCACGCGATGCAGAAAGCAATCTTTTGGTTATCACTGGCAAACTTCTACACATCCGTCAATACCCAGATCATGTAGTCTGCGAAGTCGTCTCTAATTCTCTCGCCCCAGTGCGGTCCTCCCCGGCTTGTGGCGACAGAGGGCAGACACAGCCCAGCAGGGACTCACTGTGGGCGGGGAGCAGCCCAAACTCCAGCGTGGCTCTGGTGGCAGGCACCCATCAGTTGCCTCTGGGCCACTCGACAGTCCCTGTCGAGTGCCTACTGTGTGCCAGCCCCCGTGCGCATGCTGGGGACACAGCTTGGGCTCTGTCTCTGTGTACGTTCCACTTCTGTTCCCTGTACCTAACCACTCAGCTCTGTGCAGACGTAAGCCAGTTGCTTTTGCAAGTGTATCTGCCTGAAACCCCCGTGCACACTGGCTTAAGTGGGGAGAACCGTTAGGGGCTGAGTGCAACGATGCACAGAAAGGCAGGGGTGAGCGGGAAGCTGTGGGGAGGTAGAGGCAGGAGGAGGATCCTCCATGTTACCTGGACCTCGCTCACCAGAGAGCAGGCTGGGATTTAAAAATAGCTGCAGGCCAGGCGTGGTGGCTCACGCCTGTCATCCTAGCACTCTGGGAGGCAGAGGTGGGTGGATCGCTCGAGGTCGGGAGTTCGAGACCAGCCTGAGCAAGAGTGAGACCTCGTCTCTACCATAAAAACCAGAAAAAATAAATTGGTCAACTAAAAATACATAGAAAAAATTAGCTGGGCATGGTGGTGCATGCCTGTAGTCCCAGCTACTCGGGAGGCTGAGGCAGGAGGATTGCTTGAGCCCAGAAGTTTGAGGTTGCTGTGAGCTAGGCTGGCGCCACAGCACTCACTCTAGCCTGGGCAACAGAGTGTGACTCTATCTCAAAAAAAAAAAATATGGCTGCAAATATCCTGCAAAGAGAGACGGCTTAGCCTGGAGTTGTGAGAAGGACACTACCCAGGCACAAGGGTTCCTTTTCCACTCCCAGATCTGCCACTTATTAACTGCGTGACAGCGTTTATAATAGCATTGCTGAGGCCTCACCAGCGACATGGACATAAACGTTTCTTCTACCTCACGGAGCTATTTTGAGCAAGTGAGTCAGTGTTTATGGAGGTGTTTTGGAGACTGCCAAGTGCCACAGAAATGCCCGCTGATATTGTCACAAACGTGTCTGCAGGTAACCACGTGTGCCACCTGCGAGCAGCGCAGCCAGCCCCGTCTGCGCGAAGACCTCTCTGGGAGGGACGAGGCGCGCGACACCGGCCGCGGCCGCGGGTCATCTGCTGTGTTTGGATCCAGCAGGATGTGCGGCTTCCAACCCACGTCCCCGACTGTTCCCACCAACTGCTCAAAGCTGGGACCACAAACACCCTCACCCCCAAAACTGCAGGTTCCTGAGGCAGTGCTCAGATGGGAAGTAACTAAATGGTTGATGTCTCCTATCACGTGCGGTTTAGGGACTCTGAGTCCCCCAGCTGACCCCTGGGTTCCTGCCATGACCCCAGCTGCCAACCCCGTGGGGAGGGGTGGGGTGCCTGAGCCTCAGGGACAAGAAGCTCAGAGCTTCTGTCTTGCTTTTGTCAACTTCTCTTCCCGGGAGCTGGGATGCTGGTCAGGCCATCGGAGTGCCACACTCTGGTGGTCACCTGTCGCCTAGATTTCCCGGGCTACTTCCCTGTCTCCAGGTGGCGCCTTGAAGGCACCTGGACCCCAAGTTCAGTTTGAGAGCTGTCCCTCTGTTGGTGACCGGACGAACCGCCCACCTCCTGCCTGGACCCGACCCTCCCGCCTGCCTGCCCTGTTTGGCCAAGAAGACATCCCGCCCCTGCTCCAGTCTTGAGTTTTAACAAGTTGCTTTAAAAGATTTGTGGTTTTTTTTTTTTTCTCTCTCCTTATAGTCAGAAGAGATTCTTCCCATCATATACATCTCCAAATTCCCAAACCCACCACTATTTCAATAGCATTCTGCTCTGACTTAGAATCTCAGCTCTCTTTTCAAATCCACGGCGGATCTATCCATGTGACAATGACATCAAGCAATAGCAACTGCTGACATGCCACGTCCTATTTTTCCAGCGCTCTGCCGAGTGTTTTACAAAGGTCCCTGTGAGGCCGACATCACTTTCCTCCTTTGCAGATGAGGACACGGAGGGCTCAAGGGACTACCGCAGGGTGGCCCAGCCCGTGTGGGACAGAACTGCCACACGACGCAGGTGAGTGCACGCAAGACGCCGGCTGCCGTGGAACAAACAGAAACGCGGCCGAGTTCCTGCGATTTGCACAGCGAGCCTCATGTCCACTGGAAGGTTTCACTGAATCTCCAAGTTACACGTTATTTTTTTTCCTCTGGGACATGCGGAGGGCGAGTGTCCCCGTCCTCTTCCACCCTCTTCTCCGACACTGTGCCACTCCTGCCGAAACGTCCCTCCGGGAGCTTCGGGATCGTGCAGAGTAAGCAGACGCAGCTCCTGCCTTCGGAGAGTTTTAATCTAGGAGATAAACGGGGGAGGAAGCAAGCGCCGAATGAAGCTCTAAGCAGGCTGCTGTCGCTGCCCGGAATCCGTGTCGTCGCTGTCTATTACTCCGAGTGTCTCCAGCTGGGGGGAGGCCTTGGAGCCAGCAGCTGAGTGTTAGGAGCACAAGACGTTTCGTTCCCAAGGAGCAAGATGAGGCTGGAGGGGCCGGGTGGCGCTGTCACTGTCAAGAGCCGTCCTCTTTCGCCATTGTGGCGATGTGCCCTGCTCAGAGATTTGGAGAGGAGGGCACATTTTATTTATTTATTTATTTATTTATTTTTGAGTCAGAGTCTCGCTTTGTTGCCCAGGCTAGAGTGAGTGCCATGGCGTCAGCCTAGCTCACAGCAACCTCAAACTCCTGGGCTCAAGCGATCCCTGCTGCCTCAGCCTCCAGAGTAGCTGGGACTACAGGCATGCGTCACCATGCCCGGCTAATTTTTTCTATATATATATTAGTTGGCCAATTAATTTCTTTCTATTTATAGTAGAGACAGGGTCTCGCTCTTGCTCAGGTTGGTGGTTTCGAACTCCTGACCTCGAGCAATCCGCCCGCCTCGGCCTCCCAGAGAGCTAGGATTACAGGCGTGAGCCACCGTGCCTGGCCGAGGAGGGTACATTTTAGATTTGGTGGAAGTCGTCCCATGTTCCAGTCCTTTCCGGGCTGCCTTGGAACAATTGCTCGGCTCAGCCTTGCGAACCTGGACGGGTTGCAGTACACAGGGCGTGAGGTGGGCAGGCTGAGCAGCGTTGCGGAGGGCGCGGCGTCTGGGCTGGAGGGATTTCGCATTGAGGCAGGAGGACAAGCGTGTCAGGAAAAGCTGGTCAGTGCAGCGACAGAGGTCTGGACACGACGGTATCAGAGCCCAAAGAAGGGGCTTTAGCCCATCCTGGAGTGCGGGGTGGTGAGGCGTGTGCGTCTGTGTGCATCTTTGTGTGTCTGAGCGTGCCCGTGTGTGTGTGTGTGTGTCTTCCTTGAGGACAAGAGACTTAAACCGTGGGAGGACATTCCAAGCAAAGAGAAGAGCAGGAACAAGTGCACTGCGGTGGCAGCCAGTGACCCGCAGAGACCACACGCTGGGGCGAGGGGGGGCGGCCAGGAGACAGGCGGAAGGGGCAGGCAGGCCCACGGGCTGCAGAACTTGTACCTATCCCAGAATAGAATGGGCCCCTGGGAAGCACGGGAAAGATGTCACTAGATGAGCCCATGGGTGGACACTGCTCCGGCTGCAGCCTAGAGGCCGCAGTGCTGGCGGGAAGAGGTGGCAGAGGGACACTGTAGTTAGCCGACAGCAGGAGCAATCCAGGAGGGAATTAGGCAGGGCCCGAGTTCTAGCAGGAGAGACAGTGACAGAGGGAAGGCTCCATGCCACCCCGCTAGCCCAGCGCCCAGA